TTCCACATCAGTTTTCATAAACCTTATATAAGCGACGCATTATCAAAACCTGAAAGAGTTGCTAAGAAATAAAAAGAGTTGCTTTATCATAAAATTAAAATCAGTGGTAACTAAAGTTCTCCTGAAAATTTAAACAAACAGTTAATAGTCAACCATATATGAACTTTCAAGCAAAAAGTATAAAAATCAAGTGTCACTGAAAAAATTTGAACATACCACGTCAAGATGCAGCACATCCTTTTGTTTTTGCTTGAGAAGATCTTTTTAGAGAAGCACAGGCAAAGCGGTTAGTGTGCACAACCTGAAAAAGAAAATGGCAATCATGACAAGTATAAAGAGAGTTGCATGTAAATCTGGAAAAGTGGCTGATGTTTATAGTTCCCTTGATATTGTTTGACAATAAAATGTGAAGAATAAAGGATTATCTAATTCCAAACAATATCAACACAACATTTGATGGCAAAAACAGCTAACTTGCAGTTGGTTTTCAAATTCTTTTCAGTCGAGTTTTGCATCACTTGAGAAATAGTAGTGAGATCTAACTCTTATGCAATCTTCATGTTACCTTGACTAAGTTACTAAAAACTATAGGGATCTCTACACATTCAATCTAAACAACAAAGCAGACATGCAAATCAACAAAGACAAGTCAAAGAACATGAACATAAAAATGACCTGCTCAACCACGCATCTTGATACGGGCACAAAGAAATGGACGCTATTTGGAAACAAAAGTAAGAAGAATCAGTGAAGATGCAAATTGATGAAATTAAATAAATTGATATTTTGTTCTGAGAGGAAGATGAATATCAAGAAGAAGCGATACAACTTAAAGTTAGAGCATATGCCCGTTTTCTAACCTCAATGATAGGAAAATTCATATTGAAAACTAATGTGATTATGAAAATTACCAGAGGTTGAAGCATCAGGCTCTGCTTCTTCATTCCCTGCATCCTCTTCAGCTTCTCCATCTTCACTTTCCTCACCATGACCCACAACCATTAGCTCTTCCATTTTCCTCTTCAAAGCTCAGTTACCAGAACAATACGAAATCAGACGAAACTCAAGGCCAAGAATCAGAATTCACATAAGGCAAATGATTGAACATTAACAATCTTAACAATCTCTCTGACATATCATCCATCCACTATCAATTACTCATGCATCATCGAAACTATCAAAGGACAATAGGATCATCACATTCTGAGAGATGTAAAACTAAATTAATATTCAAACCAGTCACAAAATCCCTATCACCAAAAACAACACACAGTAGAAAAACCCAATAATTATTCAAACTCCTCTTATCGCGACTGAAACTGCAGCAACATTATAATTTTTTTAAACATGAAAATCTTCGGTCAAATAAGCAATTGAAGCAAAAGCAACACAATAATACTCTAAATTCGCAACAAAAACGAAAAGGATTCAAAATCTCGTTCCAAACTGATAATGAGGAACCCTAATTAGCTAGTAGCCTAGTACAGATCAGAGGAATAGGCAAATACCTTTGACAAGAGACGAGTTTAGGATCGGGAGCAATCCCGGAAGTTTCACCGTCGACAGCTGTAACGCCCGTGAACCAAAAAGGGGATTTTTTTTTGCCATGTGTGTCGATCCACGGGTAAAATCAGACCGACGGTTTCAGTTTCTAATTTGGGCCGGTTTAGGAAACCCTAGGGTTTCGTTATAAAAGCGTGGGGAACGCGTTTTCTCTATTCTTTTGGCCGAAATCAGAAGAGGTTGAGAGAGGAAAGAGAGTGTTTATGTGAGGATTGTGAGAGAAGTGATTTCCTTGAGAGAAAATCAATTCTGCTCGGATTTTTGGAAGAGACGATCGGTTGGGAAGATGGAATCGGATCAGAGTGAAACTTTGAGGATAGGTTCTCCACTCTCTAATCTTGATTCAG